ATGTTATAATAGTGAAATGGGATGTTAAATTGTTATCATCTATTGCAGTTTCGTTCTTCTGCAGAGTGAGAATGCATTTATTTTGAAGTTATGGATATTCTTATGTATTTCTGCATCTTGGTAGGAATTGTTAAGGATAGGGTCAACGCTTTACGTCCAAAAATTAAAATAAATTTATTTTATGCTTTAATCTTTCAAAACATTTAAAATTTACAAATTTTTTTTTCAAAAATCTTTTAAAATAGATTTAATATTTTTAGAAAGTTTCGAAATTTTTAAAATTTGAATTTTGTCTTCTTTTTGAACTTTAAAAAAACTTTGGAAACAATAAAAATTTAGAAACCCGTTAATTTAATTGAAATTTTGAAAACCTTTAAAATTTAAAACTGCTTTTTTTAAACATAACTTTTTAAAAGTTTTGAAACCGTTTGATTTCAAAAACTTAAAACTATTTGTTAAATAAACACTTTTTGAACTTCTCAAAAAAATTTTAATTTCTTTATAAATTTGAAAAAAATCATTCAAAAATTTTTAAAATTTCGTCTTCAGCCCGATCTTCATCTATTTGTCCTACAACATTTTCTTAAACATTTAATTCCCAAAAAGAAGCTTAAAAGACGGTAGAGAAAAAATGGCAAAAATTTCTAAAGCCATAATTATGCCATATATTTTCCATGTCATGACTTCTTTGTGCATTTTCTTATCTAATAAATGAGAATGAGAAAGAAAAACTTCTTATAAAACATTTCAGCTTAGAGCTTTGTTATGCAATTTTCAGCAATTTCCATGCCACAAAATTATTCTCTGTCTTATGTTTAAAGACAGACATAACAAGATGATTGCAAATAGAATGAAATTTTGAAATTGAAATGATCGTTAAAATTTATTGCTGTATAATTTGCACATTTATTTAAGGATGATAATGTATGATTAGTGATCTTATTACAAATTACTTTCCAAAGAAGAGTTTTTCGATCTTCCATAACGAATATAATTATCCAAATCTTATTTTCAACTCATTTGCAATATCTGATATGTTCATTAAATCAATGAATGAATAAAATTAATAACTTTAATTTTCTAATTAACTCTTCTTCCTTTTTTTCGACTTCCATTATGCACATATACAATGAATTATGTGTGAAATTACTAATAAGACATGAAAATTGGAAGAGGATGAAGAAGTATAGAAAGAAATTTAATGGCTTAATGATGTTTAATGGATTTGCTTGTAGCAGTTCTGTAAAATGAATATAAAAAGTTTGAAGTACATGAAATCGCAGATATATTCACTGTTAGCTTCATTCTATATCTATATCCTATTATTGCTAAGCCCTTAGATCGATGTACTACACGTGTTAAGACACCTCGTTATTATTGGGCATGAAAGGAATGCTAAAGGTTAATGAATTTCTATGGTCTACGGGCGTCACGCAGAATGGTAAAGATACATGAACAAAAAAAGGTTAGAAAGTCTTAGTTTTTCGTGGAATTTACAGGCGGTGCCAATAATGATTTTGTTACCTTTTTCTTGCAATTTCACATTTGTTAAAATTTTTAAAAAATTTTTCAAAAAAGTGTGAAAAATGCGTTCAGTAACTTATATTTTGAAAGTGCGTTCAGTAATTTTTCCAAAAAAATTTTTGAAGTGCGTTCAGTAATTTTTCCAAAAAATTTTTTGAAGTGCGTTCAGTAACTTACAATACAAATTTTAAAAAGGGTGTTGAGCAAAATTTTCAACAATTGAATTTTGAAATGTACGTTCAGTAACTAGCAAATTCTAATTTATATAATAGATCAAGAAATTTCAAAATGTTATGAAGCACATATAATTTTTAAAAATGCTACAATTTTTCTAATGGCACATCCTATTTGGATTTTTTTTTTTAAATTCGTTCTCCAATAGTTCTTCATAATGGCAAGAATTTGTTCCTTAATGAGATGCTGAAATCGATCTTATCGACAATAATAGAAGATCTCATTGACTTGAGCCCCAAGGGTTACAAATTATGTACCTTTCCAGAACTTTATCTTAATAATGAGAATATTTCTGCTATTGTATTAAGTAGATAATTTTCTCATAAGTTTTGCACTTAATATACAAATTTGTTTGTCAGATTTCTTTTCTTCGGAACAGACATTAAGTATGATTGATTATGGAGAGACAGCATGTGATGAGAGTTTGGAGTTAAAAAATATGTTTTCAATGTGAAATTCATTGACATGTTAAATGCGACATTGATGTATGAAAAATTCATGGTGTTATGCTAAGTATTTATGCTTTACGCATGTAATTATGCGGTGATTTGGAATTTTTAAGCTGTGAATAATGAGAAAATGAATTTAAGGTATTTTATGTAATACTTAGGTATGCTTAGTTTGAAAGGTATTCAAATAGTTAAATAAATGGGATAAACATGATGATTAAGATTGTTTTAGATGCAGCTATAATTGAAATTAGATTTTAAAAATTTAACTATTTCGAATAAAATTTTAATTTCAATTTTAAATTAAATTCCACAATTCCCAAAGCTATTAATAAAAAAGCTTCATTTCAAAATAATTCCAAAAACCACAAACATTTATGCTAAATGCAGGAAGTTAAACCAGGAAATAGTGTCACGTTTTGAAGAAATCACCACAACATTTCATCAGAAACTGACTTCATTAATGAAATTAGAAACGCTATAACCTTAAAACTTAAAGTTCTTGTAAAATTCAACATTTAAAATATTTTCTTATTGTCATAACAGCAAATCCATGGACAATAAAAATTCAATTCAACTTAAGTACCAATCTAGATTTCTATTAAACAATTGAACAGTCAGCATGAATTTGATACAACTTGTAATAACATAAATATCAGATTAGATTCTGAGAATTAAATTTTAATGAAAATATAAACGAGATTTTCCTGTATATTTGAGATACAAAAGAAACTAATAATATCCATAAAATAAATGGATAATGAAAATTTTCGGCGAATATACTAGGAATTATTATAAACTAACACTAGATTTTCGCACGTAAATATTAATATACGAATTTCATTGAAATCGATTTTATTAGCTTCGCTGTGCTCAAAATTAATTTTATTGTTTAGTTGATGTTGTACATAACTTTGTTTCCTAGTGAATGAATGCTAACATTTTGAGTATTACAATGTAAATGGAGCTTACAAATTTCACAGAATTGAACGAGATAATTATTGGATGTAGTGTTACGTGTTTTGAAATTTTAAGGGTTGATTATGTTTTGTTTCGTAGCGATTAATAGAAATATTAGTGTAGAGCACGTTGTGGAGGGGCGTGTGACGTAGTATGGAGTAGTTTGATATTCAATCAATCATTACACAATGATTCAGATTTGAAAAAAATGTTTAAAAATTCCTTGTGCACAATATTTTTCCGACACATTAGAAAATTGAAAGTTTTTGTTAATTTCTCTTGATTTGATTCTTTTAGCATCTTCTACATAATGTTTTCGTTCATTACTCAAAAAATCAGTCCTTAATATAAAGAATAAACTTGATTTTTTACCAAAAGTTTGTAAAAGTGTGCATGATCAAATTTTGTATGAAAATTTATGTAAACTTTGATCGCAAATATCTCGAAAACGGCATCAAAAGGCATGTCCCCAGTAAAATGGGAGATAGATTTAAGCTTAATTAATTAATTTATAAAGGTTTCGATGAGGTCTTTGGAACACTTTTTAACTTATGAATAGTTTAAGTTTTGTAAAAATACTCAGATTTCAATTGCATTTTTAAGACTTAATAAGCAGTTTTCTTTTGATTTGGTAGTTTTAATATGCTTAACTAAGCTTAACTTAGCTAACAACAGCTAGCAATATAAAGAAATAACAATATAAAGTAGAGAAAATCAAAGATTTTTTTTCAAATACAATTTGTAAACAAATTTTTGGTGAGAATAAATTAAAGATTTCTGGAGTTAGACATCAAATTGAAACGAGATATTTTCACTGAATATACCTTAAGTTAAGATCTTCAATCTTGCATTTAAAAGATTAAGTTTAATTAATGTGTTATTTTTGAATTTTTGAACATTTTTTCCGAATCTGAATCATTAAATCATGCAAATATCTTAATTTAAAACTTCAAATTTTGTTTTCTTTGTTTCTGATTAATCTAAATTTAAATAGCTAGTTAAATGTTGGTTTTAGGCTACGGTGACCATCGAATTTGAAAAAAAACAGGACATCTTGAATTTACTACTATAAGTACACTTTTATAGCAATTAAATCTCATATAATATAAAGCTTAATTCAAGTATCTTCTTTACTTGCTATAAACTAAACATGTAATTTTTCGAGAAGGGGGGGGGGGGGGTCGATCCTCAAACTCAAACTTTAAAATAATAAGCTCCTGTCTTAAGTATCCCCAGAAGAATCTGAGACTCAATTTCTATTTCCACTCACTGTTTTTTTAAAGAATATTTTAAGCTTTTTTCAAAACATAGAAATCAAGAGTTTGTCCAACAATCATGAATATTCAAACTTTTTCATTTTGAAAAACAGAAATCTGATAGAAAAGTCATGACAAAGCAAGAAGTTGACATCAAAAATATTTTTATCTTAGTCAATTTTCAAATGTAATCTCATTGATAGCTTATAGATCGTTTATCATGTTCAACAAATATGTTTTTTCAGGAGTTTCAAGGAAAAATAATAATATTGAAAAGTTGATCTCTATGACATGAAGTTTGTAATTAAAAAAGAAATGAAGGAAGAGTTGATTTGAACTTTTTAATGTTTGACTTTATGATTCTTTTGACTTTTATTCATGCACAAAAAAAAAAGAGAATTTTTCCCACATGATGAATGCTTGTGACAATTTCACTTCATTTCCTTCACATAGAGACTATTCATCTCAATTCCGTATAGTTTGCATAAGTATTTTATATTTTTTATATACATCAACATGAGGAAAATTGAAGACATAAATATGCAAAATAAATGTCAAATGATGAAAATTCACTTACGTCTCTTCAATATCTCCTCCTTGTTTTAACACTGTGTCTACACTTTGTCTATAGCACTTGACATCAATATGTACATATGTGTTTGGATGTTCCTGTGTGTATGTCGAATAAAAAATGGATTTTATAAACAAAAAAAAATTGTTTCAATCGATTCTGTTGAAATATTATGTGAACACAAAAGTTATTTTAGGTTCATCACATGCTAGATGGAAAGATATGATAATGTAAATTGACGATGAATTTGAATGAAAAATTGCATCAAAGGGTTGACCTGAAAATAGATAAATGGAAAGAAAAATTAGATAATATTATTTTTCGGTAGGAAATAACTCTTTTGTGTATGTTGAATAAAAGAGGAGAAGCTAGCAGGCTTGACAAAAATGTTATGAATTTTTTTAATGTTTAAAAGTTGAAAAAAAGTTTCATTTTAAAATTTTTGAAGTAAGAATCTTAAAAGCTTTTAAATAACTTGAATTTTAAAGTTTTCAATTTTTCAAGTTTTGTGAGTTTTTAAAAAAATAATTAAACTTACAATCTTGAAACTTTAATCAAACTTAAAATCTTTGCCTTTATAAAGTATTAAATGACTGCTTTGTTAAAGTTAAAAATAAAATCATACAAGTTTCCTAGCTACGTCATTTTAAATTTTCAAAGGTTCCTGATTACACACAATCAGATTTATCATATGTTCATATCAAACTTTATTGCGTCATTGTTTGTGCTGTTCCAACAGAATCTCATTATATAAAATTGTGACTGTTAATAAACTGAAAGAACGTCACGTTTTGTAATTAGGCGTTTCAATAATTGATATGGATGGTGCTAGAAAAAAGTGAAGAGCATTGAGGCTGAAGCAAGGTTTTTGGGTAAAATGTCATGTTTGTCCTGGTAGAAAATTTATATAATGCATTGCAATCCAATGATTTTGTTCTAATCGAATTTAAAAATCTAAAGCTTCATGATATTTACGAAATTATTTCAAGATTGATTGTAAAGGATATCCAAAGAATTATTTCAAATTCGAAACAGAAAGAAAACTTTGATCCACAACTTATCAAGTAATCATTTCAAAAATCAATTCGACTAGCATTACAAACTCAATTCCATAAACTTTTGAACATCAACTTCTTATTTCATATCGAAAAAATACATCCTTCATTCTTTCAATCGATCCACTTACTCTTCTATCATTTCCAACATTCATTCAATCTTTTTCACATCCTTTATATAAACTAATTTAAAATTCACATTTAAACATCAACATAAATCTTAAGAATGAAATAATATTTATTCTTGCATTAAATTTAGGTGAAAAGTAACAACAAATAGCTCTAGAATTGTTGCCAGATATGTTCCAATAAATTTTATAGATCAAACATTAAAAAGGAAAATGAATTGTTTGTGTACGAAGGGTTTTGATCTGACTGTTGGTTTGTGGATGGAGATTTTTATGGTTTTGAAAAGAGATTTTGAGGTTTGAAGAAAAACTTTACTAAATTTATAAGAATGAGAATTGTACGAATTCCTTGCTATATCTCAAATATTTTATATTATGATTGAGAGATTGGCAACTTGTGGGAATTGAATTCAATAGATTTAAGATCTAATGTCTAAACCCCTCAGCTACAGAGGCCTTACTGGAAACACTGCAGATTCTCCTACATATTGCTTCAAGTAGTTTCAAAAGGGGTAAGCAAATAAGGTAGTACAGAAAATGACTGTTAAGACAAAATATGATTTAAATTTTATTCTAAGTTCAATTTTTCATACCAATTTATGGAAAATGGGATGAAAATTTTAATTTTTGATCCACATTATTTATTCTTAACCTCAAAAAGTTTTAAAAACATAACCCAATTTAAATAATCCTATTGACCTAAATGACATTACAACTTTTTAAAAATTAAGTTAAATAAATGTTGAAAAATGTCTACAAACTTTTAACAAAACTCTAATCTAAATTATTTCATTTATGTAAATCTATTTACTTTTTTGTTTGTCATTTTCACCCCCAAACAAACCAAAGCATTAATTTGCATGAGCATCAGTAACAAAAAAGCTTCCCACACACTCTTTTATACAATTTAAGTAAAAATCATTTTTTTGCATAAAACTTTGTAGATTTTTAGAAGAGCTTTTTATCTCCTAATAAGAAAAGTTCTTTTTTTCGAAAAAAAAAATTGTTAAGAGCAGCATCAATAACACAGAAAGATAAATAAAAGGGTAGAAAGATGCATAGTGAAAATGAGATTATCGACACGTACATAAATCCAATTTAAAAGAATATATGAGAGATTTTTATCTATCACCGAATGAGTTTTTTTGTTTGTGTTTACTTTTACTCACTTTAATCTATTTTCATTTGCATCTAGGTAGGTGAAAAAATGATGCTTTTCTACTTGCGTGTACTGCACTAAAGCGATTGAGCGATTTAAATGAAATTACTGAGATTATGTAAGCTTGTAATAGTGCCTATTGGGAGGAGTTTTAAATGGATTTGGATGCTGAATGAGTTTATTTAATTAAATAAGAACTCTGAGGTGGAAATTTCAACTTTTTGTGCTTAAATAGTTGAAATTTTAACGAATAAAGTTTATTTGAATTTATAAAATACGTTGAAACTTTCAAAGTTTAAAAAGAAGAATCTAGAATATTTAAGTATCAACAATTTTTACGTTTTTAGAGGGGACAAAGCAAAAATTGTTGAGAAAAAAAAATTTGACTTTTTCAATTTCGTTTGTTGAGTACTTGGAAATTTCATCACAGTAAACATTTTTGGGGTTTTTTTTCTTATCAATTTTTGTTCTGTACCCCCCCCCCCCCCCCCCCTGTTTTTTTCTGAGTTCATGTTTAGAATACTCAACCTAACCTCAATCAAAGCTTTTAAATTCCATAGCAATCAACTTATCCAGATCCTTTACAAAAACAACATTTTACTTCCCCCAAGGATAAATTTACTCAATCTCAATAAACATTTAAATCCATTACTACAAAAACCCACTAATTGAATTCCATTTAAAGCCATCTGACTTTCCTCCTGAATTATGAATGAGATGTGAAAATCCTGAAGTAAACAAACTCATTAAAATTGTATTCGTAATCAAATTAAATTAATTTGCATCAATTCTCTCGTAAATTTAATGTGAAGTGAAGTTCAAATAAACTTTACATAATTAACGATGCGGGTAAGCATCAATTCAACTTAATTAAGTTAAAAACAACGTCAATTAATTTTGAGGTTTGTATTATTTTTACTTTTTTAAAAATTTTAAGTATAATTGCAGTCCTTTTAGTGACCCGAGTTGCAAATGTGGAGAATCTACGCTTTGTTTTTGAATTATTAGTGTCATTTAAAAAAATAACTGTCAAATAGAATTTGAATTGATGCAGAATATTTGGTTGAAATATAACGATGAAAAAATATTTAAAAATTTATAGTCAAAGAGTTCAAATTGTTCGATTTAAAACTGGAATTAAAATCCTCTGCAGCTCGGGGTTCATCACAAAGCCATTTCCATAAATAGAAAATGAGGCTTCCTTTATTGTTGACTCATCATTTGCCAATAACAATACTTAAAATTGACAATAACTAGTTAAAAACATGAAACTTCCATTTGAATTTTTGCGGTTTCTTAAAAATTTATCTCATCATCATCAAGCGATTGCATCATTTTGAGTTTTTGATTCCCTTTGAATGGACAAATAAAAAATTTACCAGAAAAATGGCATTTGTTACCCATTCAAACGCGTACAAAGTGAATAAATGAAGTATAGCAATCTAGAAACCGCATGATGACAGTCTCATTCGCATTGTCGTGATTGCTTTTATGCTTCAATTTTTGGAAACATTTTCCGTGTCAGATTCTTGTGTCTATATTTAAATCAGAAACATTTTACTGTGAAGCTATTGCTTCAAATATTTAAACGTTTATGGTGCTGTTGTGTGTTTCGTGTTCCTACACACCCTCTTATGTCTCTCAATAAGAGGACAAAATTTATGACAACGATCTAGAGAAACACTGAATACATTTTTGTATACATCATTCAGAAATCATCATGTATGTCCTGCCTTACTGCTACATATCTCTACGTCTATTTGTATTATCGTCATCCTACGATACTTTATCCTGCTTGTATGACAATTTCCGGAAAATAGATGGCAATAATCGGAGGAAAAGTGATACGTCCATTGTTAGACCTAAATGTGTCAACTTCAATGAGCTTTTGTGGTCAAATTTTTATAGCTGAGTGAATAATTTCGGAATGATTTTAAAGGCAAAAATTTAATAATTGCTTCTGAGAACGCTTGAGGCTAGGTCTGGCGATCACTGATTTTGTAGAAGTTGTAGACAGGAAATTGAGTTGTGAATTTGACATGACTGAATATGTTTTCAAATTTATTTTGTTAAAGCTAACTTCAAGTTTTGTACCAGTCAATTATTTTTCAAATATACTCAAGAGCCAACTTTTGATTATTAAAAATTCAAAAAATAACGACTTTTTAATAATTTTTTCATATTTTTCATCTAAAGTTGAATCAATTGTGCAGCAGTTCTTTAAAAAAATTTCAAGGTAGCAACATAACTCATTTCCTCTCACAACTTATTACAAAATAGAGGATATTAAAGAAGTATTTTTATAAGTTTTTCTTTAATTCCGAACAAGAAAACAAGCTATAATTTATAAAAATTGATATATCGACACAAATACGAACCGATCTATTGATTATCATCGTACATAATATGTAATATAAAAAACTTTCTAGGTCATGTTCGAATCGAGAGAGTGAGCGAGAGCAAAAACCAATAAAATATAAATTTATTTTGCACAATTAAAGTGAGAATGTCATTAGATTAATGTGTTACGCAAGAAAGTGTGTTGATTATAACTGTCCCGTTCCAGATGACAATAATTACTAATGTGTACACGATCCAAATAGCCATGAATGAATAAAGCTCAATCATGAAAGAAAGCAATAAAGATATTGTTAAAAATTTCATGAATAATGTACCAAAAAAGAAAGACGCATGATACAACAACAAGCCACACAGTCACGAGGCATTCTCAAGAGCCCTAATGCATGCATATATTCATGTACGTCTATTAAATTATTCATCACTTCTTTCATTTTATTTTTGTTGATACAATTTTCTTTTATCCCATAGAATGAATGAAATTACTGGCATATCGTATCAGTAGTAGAATAGGTTAGCATGACAATGTCATCATCATGCAATCTCATGAAAATAATAAAAAGTAACAGCTTAGAAA